TGGGACATGTAGCTGGACGTCTTCCGCCCCGTTTATTGATTCTTGTCAGCCTGGCAAATATCCAGGGTTCCTCTTGAACTGTGTGCCCCAGACAGGGCCGACCAGGGTCGAGGCTGGGGGCAGTGGGGGACGGGGAGGCCATTATGGAATCTGTCACTTCACGGTCCGCGGTTCCGGGGTAGGTTACTCGGTTGGCTTCCCGCCAGCGTAGCTGAAAAATTTGCGATTCTGGAATCAAGCCGTCCACGGCACGCCCGACTAAAGCCCAGCCAAGCCCCCAGTGACAGAAACATAATCCCCCACCCACACATCACTCCCACCCCTCTCCCTGCTGCTAATTATATTTAGCAGTCAATGCTAACACTGTACTCTCACATTAGTCCCCACACCCAAAACTAAAAAACATTCAGTCCATTGTTCACATGCTTAGCCACATTCCATACTGTAGCTTTGTGCAGCACGCATCAGTAAAATGGAGTATTACTGTAATTTTGCTGTAATCTGAAAAAACTCTTAAGTCATGATTACATAACAAGCGCAGGTAACGATGCCATACAATCCTGTGAGTCGAGCGTTCACTTGGCAGGTGGGGAGGGGGGGGGGGGTTGGGGGGGGGCTTGCCATGGCTGGCTGAGAATCGTGAGAACTCTCCGCCCTTCACAAGAAAAGGCTTCAGCCTACAGTCTGGGAGAGGAACCAGCCGTTGGAACACCAGAATACAGTGAAGGAAGGAAATAAAAAATAAAAAAACGCATGTGAAAGAAGTAAACAATATGCTACTGATCGCTCTGCGATCGATGGAGGGATTAAGTGCCGTCCGCAACTGTCTCCTCGGATGTAAATAACGGAGCCTGATGTTATGAGCCTCTTCTGCCATAAATAAGATATAAATGATTGCTGCCATAATCGATGGCTTTTGTTTGGCATCTGCACCCTTAGGCTGTGTAGAGCTGCATCATGTTACATTTACTTTTATTTAGTTAGCAGACACGTTTGGTCAAAGCGAGGAATGCTTAGGGCCACAGAGAGGGGTCAACCAGCGTTCCGGAAGCAGCTGGGATTAAGGCCCTTGCTTAAGAGCCCAACGGTGATTTGAATACTTTGCCGGCCAGGGGATTTGATCTAATTCCCTACCAGAAATGGCTATGGATCTCATGCCCTACCGGAAATGGGTGTCGAATCTCATGTCCTACTGGAAATGGGTATCGGATCTCATGGCCTCCTGGAAAACGGGTGCGGATCTCATGCCCTACCAGAAATGAGTGTGGATCTCATGCCCTACCAGAAATGGGTGCAGATCTCATGCCCTACCAGAAATGGGTGCAGATCCTTAACCAGTCAAGTAACAGCGCGACAGTAGCAGTGAGACCAGACTCAATACCTGTATGTTCTACTGAGATATTTTCCGGAAAGCTTCTTAAGTTCATCTGCTGAAAGCCCCTGCCCTTGAACCCTGTAGCTTACCACCATACCTCGGCATTCAAAGAATATTAGAAAAAAATTAATAACTGCTGGATCACGAGATGGGGAGAACCAATTCCCAGTCACTAATTCCAGATCCCAGTTGTGGCTTTTCCCAAATTCCATTCTGTTTCCGTGCATCTATCCACTGTTACACCCCCTGCCAGATAAAATCCCCATTCCACCCACTGTCACACCAGGCCAAAACATAGCGAGTCGTACCCATTACAAAGAGCACCTTCTTCAGTCTTCATAGACCTATTCTCCGCCAGGGGGTTCAGCCATGTCTGTGTAAATCTATTGCACATCGGTCTGTCTGAGGTGACCGAAATGCACAACGTGACCAGCAGGTGTCAGTGGAGACCCTACATCAGCTGCCATTGCAGAAGTGTATTTTTTATTTTTTTATTTTTTTTAAATCTGAAACATATCCATATGTAAAGAGGCGCAATGTGCAACCGCCAGGCAGCCCACACAGCACATGGCTTGTTTCATCACTACCCAATCTTCTCCCTTGTTTAGAACAGACACTCCCGGCTGGGGAAATCACTGTACATAATAAGGCCGGGCATTCGATCGCTTCCCGAGAAGGCTAGCACAGCATTAGCGTCCGGAGAGCGTCAGCCATGCAAACCACCTGGACGGCCTGAAACTCCACGGTCAGGCCCGAGCCTCCAGTAGCAGTAGGGTGTATCAATCTCTCCCCACTGTGTTTTAATGACACGCCTCGTGTCTGCATCTCCCTGGGTCTCGCTTCCAGGTCACCACTTGCCCATCTGCTCCCCATGGCATGCTTTCTGTAACGCTCACCCCCGAGAGCCGCTCGCCATTGCTGCTTCTCGTTAAATGGCGGTGGGCCGCGCCGGTATCAGGTTCGAGAGAGCGTCCCGCCTCCTGACCAGCAAAAGCAGAGAAGAGGCCTCAGCAACACATCTTACGTTTTGCTCGTGACACATCTGTGCTCTGGACCGACGTCCAAAATGAAAAAGCAACGTCCCTCTGGTTTAGCTTTACTGCTTTTCGCGCATTGACTGGCTCACACAACCTGCCAGACATCCCCGGTCTGGACAACTTCTCCTACAGATGATGAAACAGGAGTGTAGAAGCCGTTAAATTCCTGACCTTCCACCAACTTTAAGTGAGGCCGTCCTAGACTAGTTCACTACCAAGAACCCTTTCATCCATTTTCTGAAATCACTTGTCCTATTCAGGGCGGTGGGGGATCTGAAACCTATCGCGGATGGTACGGGCACAAAGCAAGGAACAAACCAGGACGGGGCGCGAACCCATCACAGGGCACTCCCACACCAGTCACACCTATGGGAAATTTGGCAGCTCCGATTAGCCTCAGCATGTTTTTCGGACTGTGGGGGGAAACCAGGGCACCCAGAGGAGACCCCACAATGACACAGGGAGAACATGCAAACTGCACACACGTGGAACCACAGCAGGATCCCTGGTCCCAGAAGTGTGAGGCAACAGTGATAACCGCTGCACTAAAGATCATGTAGATCATTCTGCTTTTAATGCCAATAAACCAGGCAAACATTAAGGAAACAACCACAAAAATGTGCTAAAGCAACAAAAAAACTAAAAACTATTAAAAAAAATATATAAAACCGTAATACTATAACCAATATATAACTCCACAAATGGCACCATTATTTGGGAATATGACTTAACCATTGTCTACAAAAAACTACTTTCTTAAATATTGCGTTTTCTGCTATGTAACATAATGACTAGTGGTCAAACATTTCTTTTCAATGTTCAACCATTAACTTATTACTGCATAGGCCTATAATGCATTTAAAATAGATAATTTCACCTTAAAATCTGATGTTGTTGTTCCAATCAAACACACACGCTAAGCCCACTGCATACCTAATACATTTTGGTCTTTTGTAGATAAATATAGTTATTCTTAATAAACGAACAGCAATAAAACAAAATTCAACTAGAAAAAACACAGACACGTCCGGTCCTACAAAAGCGCATTACGGTTGTAGTGAGTAGCAAATGAAAGCCTAATTTATTACAAACAACATTTCACCTCCATAACTTTTTCCAGATTTAAAAAAATGGCAGTGAGACAGCAAGTCAGGAATAACTCAGAATGGAGGAATCACTAGGGTGTAAATGAACAATAAGGCCAGGCCATTGTGAAAATACGGACTTTTGGCAGGATAAATGGAGCGACCTTTAACGCCACTACACTGAAACGGCTCGTCGGTCCAAACAAAACCGCTAATTCAATTAGAAGAAAATACACGGGACAGTGTCGGTCTTGTATGGAGAGCTAAGGGCGAAGAATAGCTTTTATTATAAGGAAGTGCTTTTCCCAAACTCCTGCCTTGTTTCCACCCTTCCTTTACCCACTGCCACTTCAGCTTTTGCCCTTTTGCCCTCTTTACGCTCCCTGCTGCCACAGCGTCTTTAAGCTCGTCAAACTGCCCGAAGCTATATTCACCTCCAGGCAGCATCTAAACAAGAAAGCAAAATAAAGGGAACCGATCAATGTGCACCCAACGTCCAGGTCTTAGGGGTAAACTCCCCTGTTTCACATTTACTCCATTTGAATGTCATTAATTGAAATACGGTGATGTATGCTAGATTTGCCATCATCTCCGTCGTCATCATCATTATTGTAGCCATAATCGCAAGCCTGTAATACTTATCCAATTGATCTATAACCATCTGTGACTGGGGTCAGCAATGTGTCACCGTAACGATGCATGTGTTCTCGTTCGTAATATATAACGTATAATATGAAAGCACTGAATGACTACACGTTCACGCAGATCGTTAAGGCTGCTCATTTCCCACCTGCTTCCCATGGATTACTGCTAGCTAGATGATTTGGACATGACCCCCACATACGGGCACGTCTTGCTTTCTGCGACGTCTCAGACTAGGAGGAGGGCAAATGCCATGTTGGTATGCACACCACAAAGAAATCATACCAGTGAAGCCCCCCCGCGTCAGCCGGTCCCCGTCAGCAGTGCTGATCGTGAAACCCAAATTAGGCCAATGGCATTATCCCTTAACCCAAATAGCAGCTTTGCGACTCCACCTGCTAAGCCCTCGTATAGACGAGTCATTGATTAAGCGTCACATTACATGGCACGGTTAAAAGTCGATTATACGTGATCGTGCCGATTAATCGAGGGGCAGCGCTGCGTCTGCGGATAAGGTGCATACACCCCACCGCAAGCTGGTTCGTTAGCTCATAGTTAATATTTTTAAATACCATAGCTAATTATTGATCAGTATATTATGAATCGTTTGTAATGATTTTTTTGCGCTAGATCCCAGGCTCGCAGAAACGTGTACAGAAACACCGTCTGCCTTAAAGCGAGCTTTTACACCATTTTCTCCCAGCGCAAGCCGCTACCGCCGCTGCGACTTGATCTGGCTAATTTTCACCACCTTTTCTATCTGCATTCGCGTTCACTAGTCTGGCAAGCGGCTTGACAGCGTGCCCGGCTAAGCCGAGCCCCGAAAGCACGTAAATGCATTAAAATAAGAGCATCGCTCACCTCGCAGTTTGTCCCCCATTCCTCTGCCGAGCCAAGGAGCCGCTCCGCTGCTGACGTCACGCGCTCCACTCTGCAGCAGCAGCGCGCGCGGGGGGCGGGCCGGGACTGCACGCGCCGAAGGTTGAGCTCGCCGGCTCGAGACCCTGGTCGCCCCGTGAAGGGGCACATTAGTTTACTTATTATTCCTTAAATGCACAGTCACGGCCTCCAGTCTTGGAGATTGAACCTATCCATCCATCACTTTCCAGCCACTTATCAACTACACATTTGCATGGAACCGGGAACCAGGAAACATGGGGTACAGGTTGCGCCGTACACAAGATGCAAGCTCATCAAAAGGTATACACACATCATCACATGCTCACACACCATTGCCCCACTGACAAACTGTCACCTCGGATCCCCTGCTAGGGTTGCCTGAAGAAATCTGAGGTAAAATTTGACACTTAGTCACCATACCAGCCAGATACAATGCAATAAATCCTAAATGTCATACATAATATAAAGATTTGTATGTTTTTAATTAAGTAAATTGCTTTGATATAGCTGTTGATATTTATGTGAATGCACCTTGGATAGGTTTCAAGTTCCCAACAACCCTGTACTGGGTGAGGAATTGAAAGATAGATGTTTGCAAAATAATAAGAAAATGTTAAAACGACACAGATCTCTGCTCCATGTTGGTTATCTCAATCTGACCCAGTGCTGCAGCAACAAATGAATACATCCAGATCATTTAAACATCAGTGTTTAATGTGTCAAAAATGTCAAAAACGTGCAGATAGATTGCCATGTACACATATCACTATGAAGAACATAATAATGATGTATTAAACGAATGACATAATGGATACTGTCAGTTTAAAACAGCTGCTTATGTACAGGTGAACATAGCTTGACTTTGCAGCCTTTCCTCATCGAGAGGAGCCATCTTGGTTCATGTCTGTGATGAACTTTCCATCCGGGGTAATTCCCTGCATTGTCCCCCTGTGCTGTTTGGAATGAGCTCCGGTGACCCTATACCAGATAAGCAGAAAATGGAAGGAGGAAGGACATTAGCAATAATATTCTATCACAGTGCTTCCCAACCTGGCCCTCAGGGACCCATAGACGGTCCACATGTTTGCTCCCTCCCAGCTCCTGGTTGGAGCAAAAACATGGACTGTCCACGGGTCCCTGAGGAACGAAGTGGGAAACACTGCTCTATCAGATGGGTCACAGTCAGCCACCATTAAGCTTACAGACATCTGATCTGAGTTTCTATCTGCCAAAGAAAAGAGTCTCATTGTGTCACTGACCCAAAATTATCCGCAGCAACTGCAGTAATATATGTAATTATCTCAGTTTTAAATATTAACAGGTGATCAAGTCAGAGATAACCAAGCTGCCCCAGAAGGTTTTGGCCCTGCAAAGTGTCAGTAAGCTATTATTACAAGCTCAAAACTTCTTTGGAGAGAACGTTTTATAGATAGAATTTGGCTGGAAACCTCCATAAGAAAGCAGATCAGATTTAAAGTTCAGAAATTTCCGGGGAGAGATTTTAAAGAAAGGAATCGCCGTGTCAGCAAATCCGTCCTGGACTCATGCTTCTGCTGCGCGGTGGTGAAGATTGAGGGTGACCCACACCCTGCCCGGCATCACCATCAACAACCTGCATGTTGCAATGATCCATCAACAGGGATTAGAGTCAGCTCTATGCAAGAAGGCGCAATCCAAAAGCTCACAGCTCTCTGGCATCATCAAGACGACGTTTCCCCCACTCTCTGGGCAACACCTGTCACACAGAGCCTGTTCCTTACCAAGACCCATCCTCCCAGGAGAGGAGAAGTGTGAGAACCGAGACCGAGAAAGTCAGCTTTTACAACTTTGCTAGCTGACATTTGTGCAGAGATGCCCTCCAAGGCTCCACTGAGGAGGAGATCTCCAATCCTCCTCGCGGGGAGTGTGGAGATTAATCCCGTCCCTGAAGCAACAGGGAAGGCCGGGGCCCCTGTTTGCTCAGGTTCTGCTGGAGCGTCACCCAGGTCCTCCCTGGTATCAGCTGTCTGGTGCCTCGTCGATTGGACCGCCGAGCCAGCCACATCTTTCAGAACTTATTCACATGATTACATTTGAAACCCAAATTTCATGTTGGATCACAACCAGATCGTCTGAACATTACCCACGTCTGAGCCTGCAGTTGTACTCTCTGCCCAGGAGGGGAGGATTTCCAGGTAACCTTGGACCCCTAAAGATTTTTTTCACTTACTATATCCTCCTATTGGTTCTGCTGGTTAGGAAACTGCCCCTGAGAGCAGAAGGCTGCTGGTCAAATCCTGTGGTCGGCAGAAGAATTTCACCATTGTGCTCCTCAGCAAGGCCCTTAGTTGTTCCAGAGACTGACTGACCCTGTACTCTGTACTGTATATAATGCTGGGAAAAAAGGACAATTTCAGGACCTCCATACACAGAATTTAAGTATATTTTATCCATCTCACAAACATTACTTCAGATTTCAGAAGACAAGGGAAAGAGTTTTTATTTTTAAATCCATGGTGTTCGGATTTAGTAAGACATAGTTTTCTATTAACATTTTTTTTTTCTGGCAATCCATTGTCAGCACTCAGAAACAAAACTGTTATATCTCACATATTCACAGCTTGAGAATTACAGAAGGGGCACAATTATGTAAATGTAAGAATTTCAATACCTTGGCCGTCAAGGCATGCGTACTGGCTAAGCACATTAATGGAGGTGCAGATGCGCCCCCTTCTGGCCAGTAGTTGTCAATTTCTCGAGCGTCACTCTTTATCTCCAGTGACTGAGGTTATGCGCTGCACGGGGGAGCTTCTGATTCTCATTTGACGGACGCAGAACCAGGCGAAAACTTCCTACCGTATACAATGGAGTAGGAGGAGTCTGTCGACTCTTTTGAGGGCTTCCATTGACAACACAGCACTTAAATCCCAGCTTCCTGCTAAACGACGGAAAATATACGTTAAAAAAAACCAAAAGAAACATTAACCTACATTAAATGAGGCAATTCCTGTGCCGAGCTACAGAAACAGATAGTGATCGATCCTGTTGTATTTCTATTTATAAATGCCCAAATAACTGAAAACCTACAACGCCAGGCCATCTATTCTCTTTGATTCATTGCAATTAAGGCATTTTGATCTTCCACGAACGCCTCGAATGGATATAATTAGCTGTCATTCGCCTAGCAACCGTTACTCAAGCGAGACACTTAGACACAGTACAGTCATTTGCAGAGTGCTGTCAATTATTAATTGGCGAGACAAAGGACAACACATAGATGTCAGTCTCTCGTGTTCATCTGTTCTTTCATCTTTCAGCTCGTAAGACACTAACCAATTTTCCTCCGAATTTTGCCTTTAGGTCTTACCGAGCAAAATAGGCCTATAGAGAAAAACTTCCAAACAAAACTGGAGAGATTATAAATATCTTCTCCACAGCGCGCACATCCTTCACTGACAAATGACTGGATGTGTAGGTAAACACTGTGGTAACCCTCCTCTCGCACCCCTGCCTTGTACAAGCTGGGAAGAAGACAGCACCATTCTCGTTACTCAGAGTAATATGACAGTCCGGGCCAACAGGGGGCAGCAATGGAGAAAAAATGACTAAGTTCGATATGTAGCCACAAATAAATCATTATTCTGATGTACGAACTGGAGTGTTGTGCTTTTTAAAGAGAGCATTTGAAGGCTGCAGTGCTTAACTTTAGGAATGTTAAATGTGAGGCATTTTTACAATGACGAGAGAATAAAAAATGTTCCATTGTGTGGCCCCAACCAGTGCTGGACATAACTGTGCCAGCCAGCTAGCACGCCGCTATTAACCCCCTAGCCTGGGTCATTCCTCACCATTTTGAGACTCGACTTTCTTGAACACAATACCATGGCAACGAAAACAATCTCCAGACACGGAAGGCCAGATCGCGGTGAGTCAGCACCTTCTCGAAGACTTTAGAGCTACCAGCGCTGATCAGAAACGTATTGTCCTGTCACAGCAGGCACGCAAAAGCCGAGATCCTTATTCGGGGGATTAGTGCAGGCAAACAGCGTACCCTGTGGGCAACTACAGAGGAGGTGAGTAAATCAGGGAAGGTGTATGGTTGGCCAGCACAGCAGGGGTGGAACATGGTGGGCCAGCGCACTGGAGGTTGGCATACTGTGGGCTCTCTCTGAGGGGGTGCCACACGATGGGTTGGTAGACTAATGTGGAATCTAGTCAGCTGAAACGGGGGGCGTGCGGAACAAAGAAAATCAGAAGGTTGTGTATAAATGAGGCTGGGGAGTTTTGCATTCTGGCATTACAAGACATAGGGGCCCTTTCTGGAGTAAAAATTTAAATTAACATTATGGTATGAAATTTTGTTTTCAAGCTTCTAAGCTGATGCCAATGAAACTGCAAAAAAGATGAAATTTCACTCACGGGTAAAACAGCAAGCGCCTCCAGAGGATTCGAACCAGTAAAATATAAATAAATGTAATTCATGACTAATATATATATATATATATATACACACATATATATGCTACCCTACATATCGTTGTCCAGTGTCAATGGCACAGCTAAGGGAGTCCCGGTTTGTGGTCTGTAAGACACTGGCTTTTAACGCCACACTAGACCCCGGTTTGTGGTCTGTAAGACACTGGTTTTTAACGCCACACTAGACCCCGGTTTGTGGTCTGTAAGACACTGGTTTTTAACGCCACACTAGACCCCGGTTTGTGGTCTGTAAGACACTGGCTTTTAACGCCACACACAGAAGACTATAGAAATGTTTATTGCAGCCTGATGACATCTGCTCTGGAGACCTTGTGGGCTCCACAGGTGCCTGATCCCAGCAGTAAGAAGCTCCCCATCAGTTCTGAGAGCCTTTCCCAACTGCTCTCATTCATCAGTGTGACACACTGGCACGTCGAATGTTTATACGCATCCCATAATTTTCTTCCCCACTAGGGGGGTGGTGAACCAATCTAACAATTAAGACCCCCCCCCCGCGCGCAACAACTGAGCTTCAGTCACGATGATCTCTGGCAAGGCCTCCATCTGGTCAGTAAGAGCTTTTCAA